AAAAAAAAAAAAAAAGGAAGAAACAAGAAAAAAACGTTCTTCTTTTTGTCATAATACCATAAAAATTTTATTTGAATTTGCAGAAGATGCAACCAGTAAATCAGATGCTATTTGTTGCTGTCGTTATGCTCAGTGGAATGGTCTCATCATCGGTGGAGTTTGCGCCTCGCCAAGTGGATATTGAAAATGTAATTGTTTTTACAAACATAACCATACTGCTGGTTCACTGGTGTCTTTTTCTTACTTTTCTCATCTATAAAAAAATTGGTGAGAAAAAATTTTTTTTCTTCATCAACAAAATAATAGCACTAAAAGAGTGCTGTTTGAAAAGTTATGAAACTTTAATTGTAGTATGCAAAACAGTGCCGTAGAGCACATGAATGTTGGCGTACCGAACCAATTGGCCCTGATGCTTTACCTCTTGCTCTAACAGGTCAATTACACTACTTAGTTGCAGCACAGCTTAATGATCCAAATAAAGTCTTTTTTTTTAAAGTTTTTGAAGCAGTCTTTTCACTACTTCTATAAATTGCTGTTTTTTACTGTTTTATCAAAAAAATAATAAAATTACAGGGCGATACAAAAGATTAGATATCGGCGAATCATTGCTGAGGGGAGGTAAGAAACGTTTGATACCAATAATTGTTTAGTTTTAAGCTTATTGTTACGCTATTTTTTACCTTGATACTTTAGGAAAATGCCGATGTCGTAACGGCTTTTGTCAATATTATCAAGCATCAACAGAAAGCTTCTTCCCCTGTGATGAGCTGTAAGAAGTTCCTTGTTAACTGTGTATTGTCAACTGCTCCCGTTGGTGCAATGCAATCATCCTATCTCTGGTCGTTTCACTGTATTTTGTTTGCAACAGGTGCTCCAAAATAAATGTCTTCATTAACTTGTTATATTTGCTGATACAAATACAGCTGATAATTTCAATGTAACACTTAAATTCTATAAAAATAACACAAAAGAATTTCTTATACCTTGTTACTGTTATTGTTATTACAAAAACATTACAAATTTTAGTGGGAATCTACCGCTAGTCTCAAAGTGACATCAGTAAACTATATGTAAAATAAACCTCTCAGAGAAACATCTAAAAAAATATAACATCTAAATTTTGGACAAAAAAGGATTATGTTAGTTTGCTTTTGCCCATAAACAGTTTCCAACAAATTTTATTATTAGCTGCCAACAGTAACAGCAGCAACAATTAACAAAATAAGCGAATATAAATGTACTCAACAATTGAAAAAGAACCAAAAAAAGTAGTTTTTTACTGGTAATTAAAAAGGAAGGAAAAAAAGACCAAAACAATAGTCGATTTTGATTCACTGTATGATTCAACTCATTTTTTCTTTTTTCTTTTTTTTTTTTTTTTTTTT